GTCGGTAGTTCCCTGGGGCTAGTGAGATCCCTCGCTGGGATGAGCTTCTTAGGGCTGGTGTAGCGATCTTTGATCTTGATTTTGATGCTATCCTTGCTGCTATGTATGCTGTGGATTATAGTGAGGAGAATGAGGGTTACCGGTGTTTCCAGCCCGACCCGGGCATTGGTACTGCTGCGCTAGGTGCTTGTGAGGCTGCTGCTCTAGGTGCCAGTGCGTCTGTGCTCTCAGGTACTGGTGAGACTGCGCTCTCAGGTACTGCGTCGTCCTCGTCCTCCCTCACTTTCACACTTGACTCCGGGGCTTCTCGCTCCTTCTTTCGGGACCGCACTACCCTTACGCCGCTCGGCCGGCCGGTTGCGGTCTCCCTTGCTAACCCCTCTGGGGGTCCTATCCTGTCTCACTTCTCCACTGTCCTCCCGTGTCCGGCTGCCCCTTCGGGCACCCTGTCTGGTCTGTACCTTCCCTCGTTCTCTACGAACTTGGTGAGTGGAGCGGACCTGCAGGATGTGGGGGTTCACCAGTTCACTCCTGCGGGTCAGCGGGTGACCCACTGCACGGAAGCACGCACAGGCCGACACCTGGCCACGTTCTCGCGTCGGCCTGGGTCGAGTCTCTACACCCTGACAGTTGAGTCTCCTCCTGTCCCTGCGTCTGGTCAGGTGGCTGCCCCCCATTTTCTGTGGCCGTTTGCGGTGAGGTACGCGGCGCATCAGCTCAACCTTCACCCCCGGGTCTCTCGGCCTGCGATGTCCCCAGCCTTGCTGTGGACGGGGAAGGTTGGCGATGCGTCTGTGTTCCGTGTCTGGGGATCTCGGGCGTTTGTCCGCGACTTGTCTGCGGACAAGCTGTCCCCTCGTGCTGCTCCCTGTGTCTTCCTTGGCTTCCCCACTGACGCCCCAGGGTGGCAGTTTTACCACCCCTCCTCTCGTCGTGTTCTGTCCTCCCAGGACGTCACGTTCGACGAGTCAGTCCCCTTCTACCGTCTCTTCCCCTACCGCACTCCTTCCCTCCCCCCTCCCCCGGACTTCCTTGTGCCGGTTCCCCCCCCGGTAGACCCCCTCCCCCCTCAGGTTCCTGCCCCCTCAGGTGTGTCCCAGGTAGACGCCGTTGACCCGGTCGAGGTTACTGGTGACTCTGGTGCTGCTGCGGGTGCTGAGCCTAGGGGTGCTGACTCTGGGGGTGCTGTGCGCGGGGGTGCTGAGCCTGGGGGTGCTACTGCTGGGGGTGCTGGGCCTGAGGGTGCTACTGCGAGGGGTGCGGAGCCTGGGGGTGCTGAGCCGGGGGGTGCTGTGCCTGGAGGTGGTGGGTCTGGGGGTGCTGGGTCGGGAGCTGCTGAGCCTGCGGGTGCTGAGCTGGGAGCTGCTGAGCCTGGGGGTGCTGCGTCTGGAGCTGCTGAGCCTGGGGTTTCTCCTGCTGCTGCGTCTCGCCGGGAGCCCCTCTCTCCACAGGAGCTGCGCGAGTGGTTCGCTCGCCGCTGGAGGCGTGCTGCTGAGTCTGGAGGTGCTGCTGGAGCTGGAGCTGGAGCTTCTTTGACCGTCGAGGGTGCGGGTGCTGCCGGTCCCGGAGCTGCTGGACCTGCTGGTCCTCCTGGAGCTGGAGCTGCTGAGGGCGTTGGTGCTGAGCCTACTGCTGTTGGTCCTGCCGCTGGAGGTGTGGGTGGCGCTGGTGCTGTCGCTGAGGGTGCTGGTGCTGTCCCTGCTGAGTCTGGAGCTGCCGCGCGGCCTCGGCCGTACTTCGTTCCGCTCCTTCAGCAGGTTCTTGGTCTTTCTCCTCCAGTAGAGGGTCCACCGCCTGTCCAGTCGCAGTCCCTGCTGGAGCCTTCCTCTCCACTGCCTGCTCCCTCTCCTTACACTGGTCCTACTGGAGGTCTTGCTGAGCGTCGTGAGCCTGCGTCTCGTCCCGCGTCGCCTGTTCGTGCTGCTCGCGCTAGTGGTCGCAGTTCGCGTCAGCGTCCTCCTCTTGTCCCTGGCACGCATCGGATGTCTTTGCGTCCGTCCACTGCTCCTCTGCGTGCCCCTTTGCCTTCTCCTCCTGAGTCCTCTCTTCCTGCGCTTGCCGACCCTGAGTCGGACTCTCTTCGTGCTGCCAGTCCTACTATCACGCGTCTGCTTGCTACTGTCGTCACTGACCCCTCTTTTGAGTCCACTGCTGCGTCTGCTCTAGTCGCTGAGCTCGTCGACTTTGCTGCTCGCTGTCGCCTCGACTACGCTGCTAGTCTTGTTGCTGAGTCTGCGTCTGTCTGTCCTCCGTCCGTCGGGGGTGAGTGTGCTCTTGGCACGGACGTCCTAGAGGACAGGCAGGAGGAGTTACAGTGTCTAGCGGCTGCTTCACCTCATCTCGCGTCTGTACTGCTTGCCCCTGAGGGAGACCCGGATGCACTAGACATCCCGACTCCGCGTTCTTACGCGGAGGCCGTAGAGGGTCCCTACTCCTCTCAGTGGCAGGCAGCTATGGATGCAGAGATGGCTTCCTGGAAGTTCACAGGCACCTACGTTGACACGGTTCCCCCTCCTGGGGCGAACATCGTCAGTGGCATGTGGATCTTCAGGGTGAAGCGGCCGCCGGGCTCTCCACCTGTCTTCAAGGCACGGTACGTTGCTCGTGGCTTCAGTCAGCGGCAAGGAGTTGACTACTTTCAGACCTTCTCTCCCACCCCGAAGATGACTACTCTTCGGGTGCTGCTGCACATAGCCGCTCAGCGCGACTACGAGCTTCACTCTCTCGACTTCAGCACTGCGTTCTTGCAGGGTAGCCTGCACGAGGAGATCAGGCTTCGCCGTCCACCTGGCTTCACTGGGACTTTTCCTCCTGGCACCCAATGGAGCCTCCGACGGCCAGTCTACGGTCTCCGCCAGGCACCGCGTGAGTGGCACGACACACTGAGGACTACGCTTGCGGCTCTTGGGTTTGCTCCTTCTACTGCTGACCCGTCGCTGTTTCTTCGCACCGACACTTCCCTGCCGCCGTTCTACATCCTCGTGTACGTCGACGACTTGGTCTTTGCCACAGCTGACACTGCTGGACTCGCCTACGTGAAGTCCGAGCTGCTGAAGAGACACACGTGCACAGACCTGGGTGAACTGCGCAGCTACCTTGGCTTGCAGATCATTCGGGACAGAGCACGCCGCACCATTACCTTGACTCAGTCACACATGGTGCAGCAGGTCCTTCAGCGCTTCGGCTTCACGTACTCCTCGCCTCAGGCCACTCCTCTGCCTACTCGCCACTCACTCTCAGCTCTGCCTTCGGATGAGTCCGTAGAGTCGAGTGGTCCGTATGCAGAGCTTGTTGGCTGCCTCATGTACCTGATGACCTACACACGACCTGACCTTGCATACCCTCTGAGCATTCTTGCTCGCTATGTTGCTCCTGGGAGACACAGACCGGAGCACATGGCTGCAGCGAAGAGGGTATTGCGCTACCTGTGCAGTACGTCGGGCATGGGGCTAGTGCTTGGAGGGCGGAGTCCAGTGGTCCTTACCGGCCACGCGGACGCTTCTTGGGCTGACGACCAGGCTACGCAGCGGGTAGAAATACACTTGACGGTATTTTCTCCTGATGGTATTTTCACCTGGCGGTGCCAGCCTGGAACCGCATACTAGAGTAGGTGCTTGCACGTTCTCCTTGAACAGCGTTCTTCATGAACAACGTTCTCGTAGAATGTTCCTGCACACGTCACTATGCTTCTCTATAAGGTTCATGTTGTTTCTGTTGTAATCAATATAATCAATTAATCAATTACTTTCCTTTCGTTACTGGACACCAAGCCTATTGGTGCATACCAAGCATGCTGTTCTCCAAATACCAGTATCCGGTTTCCAGCAAGTCCGTACACGGAAAACCCGCACTTCACTCTCTGATCGTGCAACTTTGCGCCTAGGCTCTCCCAAAAATCGAATTTTCTCCGCAATGCGGTACAGGGGTTTATATAAGAATACAGTGGAATATGAACAGTCCTAGCTAGCCATATACTCTGAGGGGGTACATTCCCCTTAGGGCTAATCTAGATGCAGGATTGCAACCGTGCAATTTGGTAACCGTACGCGGTCCGGTAACCGTTTGAACATTTTCCGCGCTTTGCACTTCAAATTCTTCCTACTTGTAACTGTCTGGATAATTGTCTCGTTGCTTGGCCTTTCGTCCTCGCTGCAGTCATCTTCCCGTTAAGGATTTGTAACTCAGGAATGTTTATTCAACTATTCCATATCGTAACAGGGTGGTTTGGGCGCGATCGTGTTGGCGGGCATGGTGCCGAGGCGTGTGCCGCGAGGTGGTAATTGGCTACTGTTGCATGTACAGTGGCGGGAACAGTCGTGTACGCGGTATTTAATGTGCCTGGAAATAAGGAAAAGTTGTTTCGTTACACTAATCTTGAGATTTCAGGTAGCCTTGTAAATGTATACGCTCTTTATGAAGGGTATGGAAGGAGTCTCAAATTCCTGAATGGGTTACGCTACAACGCGTACAACCTCCCGCCTAGGCTACCTCCCGTCGCATTCGGCCTTCGAGGTCCTTCGCCGAGCTACATCTTTAGTGGGCTTTCATTTATATCAAGGCACAGCTTCGATATTGCTTTTCCGCACACTCGTAACAACGCATAACAGCCTCCGTGAATCGTAGTCGCTCGAGTGTGCAGATCGCAACGCCCAAAGAACGCTTTATGCTCCGCTCGACAGGTGCAGCTGGTTTTGGTGAGCTCGAATGGCTGGCCGCGAGAACTCGTCGGCGGACTGGATGGCGCGTCTCGAGCGCGCCTTGCGCTCCACGCAGCCTGGTGGGTCGCCGTTGAAACCACCACTCGCAGCAACTGTAACCTGCGTAACCCTAATCGAATCCATTTCAGCTGGAGCCTTTCAACCCTTAGGGTAAGCCCGCATGCGTTACACCTCCACTCCGCCCCGCCCATTCCGCCCCGCCCACTCTGCCCCGCCCACCCCGCCCCGCCCACTCCGCCCCGCCCACTCCGCTCCGCTCACTCCGCCCCGCCCACTCCGCGCATGTCGCTCCTTCCCGCGCTGTGTTATCAGTCACACTCACATCCCCTTCGTTCCCATCCATCGCCCGTGTGTCCCGCTGTGCCCCGCCGTGCCTTGCCTGCCGCGTCTCTGCGAAGCTCCAACCCATTGATTGCTCCAGATCGCTCCTCTCCGCTTCTTCAATGCACGTCTTCCCTCGCTGCCCTTCGCCTGACTCCACCTCCTACCTTCCCTGCTCTCTGTCCCGCTCCCCGCTCCACTCGCCCCCACCTCGTCTCAATCTCCTCTCCAACCGTTTTTCCGCCCCCGTCCCCGACTCATGCCACCCTGCGTCACACTGCTGTCTCCGCATTTTTGCTGCCGCTGCCCTACCGTGCCGACCGTGCCTACCGTGCCTACCGTGCCTGGCGTGTTTGTTGACGAGCAACAGCATCAGGCCCTGCACCTGCCACTCTCCTGACTCTCCCAATCCCTCCCCTCTCCGCCTCTCTCCCCTCTCTCCCCCCTCTCCCACTCTCTCCCCACTCTCCCACTCCCTCCCCTCTCTCCTTGCTCTCCCCTCTCTCCGTTCTCTCCCATCTCCCCTCTCTCCCGTTTTTCCCTCCTCTCCCCTCTCCTCCTTCTCTCCCCTCCCTCCCGCATCCAACCCCTGTCCCCGCCCTTCAGCCACCCAGTGCCACGGAATTCTGACTGCCGGGCCTGCCCTGGTCGAATGGACGCTGGGGCAGCAGCCGGGGAGGAGTGCTGGGGCTGGGAGGAAGAGGAAGAGGGGGAGGGAGGCGGAGAGCGGAAGGGGGAGCGGGTGGGAGGAGCAGGGGCAGCAGCGACAAGCCCCTGTGGCTGAGAGTGACGTCGCACGATTCAATTCGCTGGTTCTGCGTCTTGCTGATGTTTTCAGCAGCAGCAGCAGCAGCAGCGCCACCCGCCTCTGCATTCTCAAGCTCTTCCTCCTCCACCTCTCCACTGCTGCCTCCCCACTCCCTCTCTCTCCTCCCGCTCCTCCTTCTACCTCTCCTCCTTCTCCCTTTCCTGCATCTCATCATGCCACGTCAGCTGCAGCAGCTGCCCCCTCCCTCACACCCGCCGCCCTGAGAACGCCCCTCGGTGCTGGGAGGTGCGACGCGGGTGGTGACGCCATGCCTGACGTCAGCAGCATGTGTGACGTCAGCCTGCTGCATTGGCGGTGGAGGAGGGAGGGAGAGCGAGTGAGGGATGTGTGGAGGGGAGGGAGAAGAAGGGGAGAGAGAGTGGTCACGAGGGAAGGAGAGAGAGAAAGTGGTGGTGCTGACATTGATAGTTTTGGTGATGATGGGAGCAGCGGTGACAGTGATGATTGCAGTGCGAGTGATGGTGATAGCGATAGTGGCGATCGTGCTGGCAGTGATGGTGGTGCTGGCGGTGGCAGTGACTGGGCGGGTGTGTTGACTGCTGGGAAGCTCTTGAACCCAACCCAAGTCATCACCCGCATCGCCCCTCTGCTCTCTCGCTCCCCCTCCTTTCCACTCCCACCCACCGCAGCAGCAGCAGCAGCAGCAGCAGCAGCAACAGCTGCCACTTACCCAGCAGGAACAGCAGGCACACCCATGCCAGCAGGCACAGCAGCGGCAACAGCAGCTGGCGCTGTTGACTCCATCGACTCCCTTGAAGCCCGCTGTCTCGCGCTGCGCCTGATTGGCTGCCTTGCTCCGCTGGCTGCTGACGTGGCACACGTGCAGGAGTTGGTGGTGCGGGCGGCGATGGAAGCAGAGGGACAGCAGGAGGTGAGCGAGGGGAGCAGGGGGAGGGGGAGAAAGAGGGGAATAAGGGGGAGTAGGAGGTGAGGTGGGTTGTGTGTTTAGGTTTGCATGTGTGCGTGCGTGTGTGCGTGCGTGCGTGCGTGCGTGCGTGCGTGCGTGCGTGCGTGTGTGCGTGCGTGTGTGCGTGTGTGCGTGCGTGCGTGTGTGCGTGCATGTGTGCGTGTGTGCATGTGTGCGTGCGTGCGTGCGTGCGTGTGTGCGTCCATGTGTGCGTGTGTGCATGTGTGCGTGTGTGCATGTGTGCGTGCGTGCATGTGTTGTGCATGTGTGCGTGCGTGCGTGCGTGTGTGCATGTGTTGTGCATGTGTGCGTGCGTGCGTGCGTGCGCGTGTGCATGTGTTGTGCATGTGTGCGTGCGTGCGTGCGTGTGTGCATGTGTTGTGCATGTGTGCGTGCGTGCGTGCGTGTGTGCATGTGTTGTGCATGTGTGCGTGCGTGCGTGCGTGTGTGCATGTGTGCATGTGTGCGTGCGTGCGTGTGTGCATGTGTGCATGTGTGCGTGTGTGCGTGTGTGCGTGCATGTGTGCGTGCGTGTGTGCGTGCATGTGTTGTGCATCTGGTGGAGAAACGGGAGCGAGGAGAAGGGTGGTTGGGTGGGTGGAGACGGAAAAGAAGGCGGTGGTTGGGTGGATGTGTGGGTGGGTGTGCGTGCGTGACTGTGTGCGTGGTTGTGTGTGTGCGTGCGTGCGTGGTTGTGTGTGTGCATGCCTGTGTGCTTGTGTGTCTGTGTGCCTGTGTGCTTGTGTGTGTGCGTGCATGTGTGCTTGTGTGTGTGCGTGCCTGTGTGCTTGTGTGTGTGCGTGCCTGCGTGGTTGTGTGTGTGAGTGCCTGTGTGCTTGTGTGTCTGTGTGCCTGTGTGCTTGTGTGTGTGCGTGTGTGTGAGTGTGCGTCTTTGGTGTCATTATTCTAAAGGCCTTGCTTGCTCTTCGCTTTGTGGTGTTCTCACTACACCCCCCCCCCCCTCACTCCTTGTACCTCGCCCATCTCGCACCTCCTCCTGCTCCGCTTCAAATAGCCGCCTGTCCTCCTCCCCCTTTGTTTTGCGCTTTCCTCCTCGCTCCCCTCTTCCTCCCTTACCTCAACCCGGTGCTTCCCTCTCCACGCTCCCCTCCTTAACTCCTAGCTCCATCACTCTCTCTCTCTTCACAGCTCGCGTCGTGTCCTCTGCCGTGTCTTCCCACCCCAAGCCCCACGCAGCTCTCTTTGCTGCCACACTCTTTCATGTTGTCTACGCTCCCTTTTTCCTCAATCCCCTTTCTTCAACCTCCCCCACCCTTCCCTCCCACCAACCCCTCCCCCATCCTCAACCCCCACCCACCACCCCAGCAGCGCCACGCAGCTCTCTTCGCGCTCACCTTCCTCTGCGACGTCTCTCCACCCTTCGCCCTCCACACTCTCCCCCTCCTCCTCTCCCTCGCTCTCCCCGCCTCCCCACCGCCACCCCTGCCCCTCTCCCTCACATGCCATCTGCACCGCTCCTCACACCCACGTCTCCCGCAGCAAACCAAGCAGCCTGGAGTGAGAGGAAACGCAGACAGGAGTCAAGCAGAGGCGGACGAGCATGTGGCGGGGAGGCGGCAGCAGCAACCACCTGATGACTCGCCAGCTGCCCTTGCACCGTTGCACCCATACTCGTTCGCCCACTCCCTGTCTCCACCACACACACTCCTACCACTGGCCATGCACACGCCCCTTGTATCATCCTCCTCCCACATGCCACGTGTCAGCAGCCCATTGGCCCGGTGGAAAGGGGGTGACGAGGGGGAGGAGGGGGTGCGCGTGCGAGTGGCAGCAGTGGTGGTGAAATGCCTGGCGGGGCACGAGGAGAGGGCTGTGAGGCGCGTGGCATGGCAGGTGAGGAGAGGGATGGGAGGGAGAGGAGGGAGCAGTAGGATGAGAAGGCGACCTGGTGGAACGTGATAACAGCAGCAGGAGGAGAACAGTGAGGCAGGTGACGCATCAAGGGGGAAGCGCAGCAGCAGCGGTGGCCGATTGAGTGTTTGATGAGACTAGGCCTTCCCAGGTGTGCTTTGAAGTGTATCTGATTGAACAACCCAAAACATGAAGACAAGAGGACATGAAGACATGAACCCAAAACATGAGGAGAGGGCTGTGAAGCGCGCGGAGAACAGAGATGGGAGGGGGAGAAGGGGGGTGGATGGGAGGGGGTGAATGGGGGCGGATGGGAGGGGGAGAACTGGGAGCATTTGGGTAAGAAGATGACTTTTGAGTCAACTTAGAAGGGGTGAATGAGAGAGCAGTTGGGTGAGATGAGAAGGGCAGAAGTGGTGGTGAAGTGCTTTGGGGACACGAGGGAAGGGAGAGGCATGAGGAGAGAGCTGTGAGGCGCGTGGCGTGGCAGGTGAGGAGAGGGATGGCAGGTGAGGAGAGGGATGGCAGGTGAGGAGAGGGATGGCAGGTGAGGAGAAGGATGGCAGGTGAGGAGAGGGATGGCAGGTGAGGAGAGGGATGGCAGGTGAGGAGAGGGATGGCAGGGGGAGGAGAGGGATGGCAGGGGGAGGAGAGGGATGGCAGGGGGAGGAGGGGGCCGGATAAGAGGGTCAGAAGAGGGAGCAGTTGGGTGAGAAGGTGGCTTGGTAGGCCTTGAGCAGTTGGGAGCACAGCAGCAGGAGACGAGTGGTGAGGCAGGTGGATGGATGACTCGAGGTAAGCACAGCAGCAGCAGCGTTGGTGAAAAGGCCTGCTTTGGTGACTGACTGAGTGTCTGATGGGACTAGGCTGTTATTAACTTGAAGTGCGCAAAGTGTCTCATAACGTGAAGGGGATGGGACTAGACCACTCATAACCCCACCCCAAGAGTGCAATGTGTGCTGGAGGGTGGTAAGGTATCTTGGCCGTCATGTGTGGTGAGTTGGTTTTTGCGATTTCTTAAATCTCATTCTTCTCTCTCCTCTCCCCCTTGTCACCTCCCCTGCTCCTTGTTTCTCCCAGGTGGCAGTCTGCCTGCTCTCTGCCTTCCCCTGTGCCCCGTGGTCCCTGCTGCTGCGATCATGGGTGTGCGCGCTGCAAGCACAGCTCGGCTGATCACTCATTCTTTGCTGTGCCATCACACACACTCACACTGTCATGTGCATTTACACCCACACATGCAATCACGCCCGTACCCTCACATGCGCTCACACCCGCATCCTCACCCTCTCGTGAACAGTCGCATGTGGTTTCATAGCCTTTGCATGCATGGTAGCATGCATGTTCTCACATGTACTCAACTCAACATCCCTTGCGATGCCTACAAGCATGGAGCAGCGTGGTCCAAGAGCTTGCCAGGCATGGTTTTGTGCCCATGTCGTTCCTTTGAAATTTACTCACATCTACGTATGACTTTGAGCATAATTGTATCATGCGCTAGGGAAAAAGCTAGTAGAAACCACTCAAGACTTGTTTTTAGTGACCAACATTAAGCCTCGGGTGCAGTGAAATTCAGATTGAGAAACCTTGCTTCTGTAGCAATTGGCATCGTTCTCATTACAATGGGCTCAAGTATAATGGTTCCTAGCAATTATAATAATATACTATCACATCCAAAATATCTAAGAACTTCTACTCTCAAAAGATGGCTAGCATGGGGAGGGTGGGTGGGAATTGAACTTGAGCGATTGTAAAATGAGAGACGTGGGTGGGGGAAGAATGACCCCAGCCCACATTATATATTCGGAGAAGGCGAATACCGCGCTTCGACGATGCACAAAATTGCATTACAGTCAGCTTCGCTTTCACAATACGCAAATTTGAAAGCGATAAACGCTTAGAAATTTTTCATATTGAGAAAGCTTGCTTCTGTAGCAATTGGCATCGTTCTTATTACAATGGGTGACGCTGAGACATGTGCAAGGGGGCGTGACGGCGGCGCTTGAGGGCCCTGGAATGTTGTGCTGGTGATGGCGCATGAGCCGTTGATTGGAGGTTGCGAGAGGCGTCAATCAGACGGTCGGCGGTGGGGGTGACATACATTTCCTTGGCCGTTTCACTGCGCCATCGACCTAGCTGTTTGAAGAGCCGATCCTCAATTCCTGCGTTTGCCGCTACAGTTGCCGCTCCTTTGCGAAAGGAGTGGGTGCCGAGCGCGTGGTCGCCGAGGCCGATGGCGTGGAAAGCTTCCCTGCACCAATTGCGTATTGTGGTATACGATGGTGGTTTGACGGGAAGTGTGTCGCTCGTGGCCAAACCAAACACTCGGATTAATGGCCCCGGTGTGGTAGGACCATATCCTGCTAGTTGGATGAAGTGCTTGGTGCATCGAACGGGGCAGAAGGGTCCCTGGCTTGCGGCAATGGGCACCCATGAGCCCTTCCCCTCTTGGTCGGTCTTCGAGCGCGGGATGAGTAGCCACATGGCATCGTCTTCAAACTGGATATCGTTCCAGCAGATGGCGGCGAGATCCGAATACCGCAGGAAGCCGGCGTACATGAGAAGCGGTATGAGTCCTTTTTGAAAGGTGGATGGGTCGTCCGAGCCAATGAAGGGTGCGGCCATGGCGTGCACTTGGTGAAGAGACACTGGTTCCTTGGTCCGGTGGGGCCGAGGGCAGTGGCGCTTGGCAAATTCTCGGACTTGAGATGTCATTGGGCCGATGGTAGGGCACGCGGCCCCAATCATACGGTGGGCAAAACCAACCGCCGAGCAAGTGAGTTGCACCACTGAGAAGGTGGCTTGGTGGCGAATGGCGTAGACGAGGTACAGCGCGAGTGTCATATCTTGTGCGGGCAGGAATGGTAATTTAGTCTTGATGCAGAATGAGCGGAACTGCTGCCACTATGGTTCGCAAGTCTTGATCGTAGATTTCGCACGTGTTTGCAGCATCATTGTGAGCAATTGGCTCTGCAGCGAGCGGAGTAATCCTGAAGCGATAAGAGAGGACGCAAACAGAATATGTTAACGGAAGGAGATGCGCAAGGCCATCATCATGCTATGGGGGAGGCCGGAACCCGAGAATGCTGAGGTGTGCGTGCCTGGTGCGAGGCATTGGCTTCCGTGAGTAAGTTTCAGGCAATCACGGATCGGCGAGGCCCAGGCGGGTGGCGAGGGTTGGAGTAGTGGCCACCAACTAGCCCCGGGCCAGAAGGGGACGATGAGTGTCAGTGAGGCTGATGTCCTTTGTGCGTGGTGAAGGACTGCCGGGATCAATTGTGGTGGTGGAAAAGCGAAACCATGTTCGTCAGCCCAGGATGTTGCGAAGGCATTGATCGCTAATGCCTTGGGATGTGGGTGTTCGCAGTAGAATCGGGGGAGCTTGGCATTCGCAGCACTGGCAAAGAGATCTATAGAGTGCGGCCCCCAACGTCGTTCGAGAAGATTAAACCATGGGGCCTTCAAGGTGTAGTCATCTCGGTCGAGAGTCTTCGAGAGCTCGTCCGCGAGCGTGTTAAGCTCGCGAGGTATCCATTCCATGATCAAGCGAATGCGACGAGTCATGCAGGTGCGGATGATGGCTTTGCATGCGGAAGTGAGAAAACTGTTGCGTGATCCACCCTTTTTAAGAATAAAGAATACGCCCTGGTTGTCGACACGCACGAGCACATGCTTGTTCTGGATGAAGCTGGTGAAAGTTTGCAGCGCCCAGACCACCCCCTCTAATTCACGACGAGTACTGGATGTGCCAGGTAGTTCCGGGGGCATGTTCGCGCAGGCCTTATGAGTCGTCGTGGAGAATGTGTCGAGTGTGGCCCCCCAGCTGTGCGCGCTGGCGTCGACGTGAATGATAGCGTCGTAGCTACCACGAACATGAAATGGGGCTCCATTGAAGTGGTCGAACTCAGTTGACCAGAACTCCAACTCTTCGCAAGCACTCGGGGACAGTAACAACCTGCTGTTCCATGAAGACGCATCGTTGATGGTTTGTAGTAAGGCATGACTGAATGCTCGCGCTGTCGCCCCAAGAGCAAGGGTCATGGAGGCGAGCATGCCTGTGATGCGTGCGACTTGCCGTACTGGGACTTTGTGCTGTGCACGTCCTGCTGCCAATAATGAGGCGATGGTGGATTGCAGGACGCTTCGTCGCTCGGTGCCGACAGAAAACTGTCCTCGTTGGGTATCGAGCTCCAATCCTAGGAATCTTAGCTGCTGAGTAGGATGGAGATGAGACTTTTTGGCGTTGATCACGAGGCCCGCTTCTCTTAGGTCCGTGATCGTGCGGGAGCAGACATCTCGAGCCGCGCCTTCTGTGTGGCACAGAAAGAGGATGTCATCTACGTAGGGAATGACGCGGACCCCTGTTGCTCGCCATCGACGTGCCAACTGCTTGATCAATTGAGTAAAGACGAAAGGCGCTGTCGCTAGTCCGAACGGAAGTGATCTGAAACAGTACGAACGCCCCTCGAACTGAAAGCCCAAGAATTTCCAACAGGATGCGTGGATGTCAACGTGGTGGTAACCCGACTTGAGATCAATTGAAAACATCCAATCCCCCGGATGTGCAAGTTCCGCCACGCGAGATAGTCCTTCGTACTTGAACTTCGGAATGCACAGCTCGTTATTAACTTTGCGTAAATCTAGGATGAGGCGACACTTGTCTCGCTGCTCGACGACGTTGAGGGGGCTAATGCATGCAAGCTCCGATGCTGGCACCTCGATTGCTGCGCCAGTTTGAAGAAGGTCTATGATGGCTGATCGCGTAAAATCCATGTGAGCATGGGTTCCAGCATGATTGGAGCACTGAAATGGTTGTGGCGGTCCTTGTTTCCACGGCATCCAGTAGCCTCGTTCGATAATTGATAAGATAAGACTGCTCGTACACCATGTTCGCCACCAAGCCAGTGCGGATCGCAAGCGCCCTTGCATGACGAAAGTTGTCCTATCCGTCACTGCGTACTCGAAAGGGTCGTCTGGTTGCCCCAAGGCATGCATCGGCAGGCCTGCACATGGCAGTATACGAAAATGCAACACATGACCGTTAGCGTTTTTTTTTTTTTTTTTTTTTTTAACCAAGCAAGCATTGACGCTCGAGTGGGATAACCCCTCTTCTAAGCACGAGACCAGGGCTAGCACTCCCCCCATTCCGTGGTTCCATTTCTCGACCTTCTCACCCTCTCCCTTTCTCTCTCTTTCTCTCTCTTTCTCTCTTTCTTTCTCTCTCTCTCTCTCTCTCTCTCTCTCTCTCTCTCTCTCTCTCTCTCTCTCTCTCTCTCTCTCTCTCTCTATATCTCTCTCACCCTCCCTCTCTCTCTTTCTCACCCTCTCCCTCTCTTTCTCTCTTTCTCTCTCTCTCTCTCTCTCTCTCTCTCTCTCTCTCTCTCTCTCTCTCTCTCTCTCTCTATCTCTCTCACCCTCCCTCTCTCTCTTTCTCACCCTCTCCCTCTCTTTCTCTCTTTCTCTCTCTCTCTCTCTCTCTCTCTCTCTCTCTCTCTCTCTCTCTCTCTCTGTCTCTCTCTCTCTCTCTCTCTCTCTCTCTCTCTCTCTCTCTCTCTCTCTCTCTCTCTCTCTCTCTCTCTCTCTCTCTCTCTCTCTCTCTCTCTCTCTCAACTTCTGCCATTTCTTTTATGTGTCAGCCCATGGCAAGGTTGTTTGCCCTTTGGTTTTTCATATTAATGTTAGGAGATTAAGTTTCTCGAGGCTTCAATTGCCTCCCTCAAAAGGCCTCCTTGAGGCGTGGCGTGAGAAAAACTGAAGAGCAACCAGGAGATCCTTTAGTAAGGCTTCTCTTCACTCTCACAACAAAATGCACAACAAAAATTTATAATTAGAAAGAGCAACTCCATAGAGCTTATCAATAACTTCTATGCAAGCGCCCTTAGACCCTCAATGGTCTATTCCCTTTAGAAACATTTTTACAGCAAAACTAAACGGGAAGAGATCAACTTCATGATGCTCTAGAGAGCTTATAGGCAAACGCCTTAGACCCCAAAGGTCTTTCCCCTAAGGGCTAGCCAAACGGCAATAAAAACCAGCCCAAGGGCAAGGCCAATAGCCGCCCCGTCGAGTTTAAACTACCGGCGCGGGTCCGTGAGGACCGTGCCCACCGGCAGGGCATGCGTTGGCAGTGTGGCCTGGCTGGCCACAGCGGAAAGAGGTGCCGCGGAAGCCCTTTGGATTGCAGCCAGGAGCCATGTCGAATTTGCCACCAAACCCCGTGGGGCCTCGGCCTCCAAGGGAAGAACCGCGACCATAGGAGCCTTGGGCGCGGTTCATCGCTGCCACATCCGCGAGCGCCTGCTTGAAGGGGCGCGAAGTCAGCACACTTTTCTGCTGGTACAGCTTGAAGTGGTGCGCCGTCTTGAAGTCGGAGGCGTCGGCGACTTGAAGGAGTTGGAAGCGATCGGCGATGAGGGCGTACGCCTCTTCGAAGTGCTCAAGAGCGCCAGCAGTGTCGCCGTGGCGTATCTTGTGCTCCGAGTGCTTCAGGTACGCGCGCAGGTCCTCCAGAAATTCCGCTTGCTCGCGTACTCCGGCGTGGTGAAATGAGGAGGCGGGAATGGTGGGATTGGTGGATGGGAGTGGAGGAAGGTGCTCAACGGGTGCAAGAAAGTTGTTGTGTGCATGAGCCTCACCCGCTTCGTCTTCTGAGTCGCTGCCGTCGTTGTTGTTGTTGGGCACCGCAGTAGCAGCATTTTCCCTTTCGGCGCGAGGGACTTCGTGTGCGCGAGCGTGACGCGCCAAATCGTTTCTTGCATTTGCGTTTTTAGCAGATGCAGAAATTGTTGTCGCTGTTGCCGTAACCGCCGGTGGCTGCTGCTGTAACAGCGCCAAAAGCGCTTGGACTTGGTCAGCAGTCAGCGCCGGAGTCAAAACAGGGTCAGCCGTCGCGTCAGACGAAGACCCAGTTCGGCGCCTCTGGCGCTGACGCGACGGTCCAGCCACAGGTGCTGGCGCGTGCTCGGCGTCGGGCGCGTGTGGCGCCACAGGTGCTGCAGGTGCCGCCGTCGCCACTTGCGCCACAGGCGCCACTGGCGCCACTGGCGCCACAGGTGCCGAGGGATGCTGCTGGTTGGCGGTATTGTTGACTTCGCCACTGCGCGTCAAAAGGTCGACACCAGTGGGCGCGTTACCCTCGTCGTCCGCCCGCCGCTTGTTGTGGCGATCTCCCGTAATTTCACGGGTATTCTTCTCGTTGTCCGAACGGTTCGGGACGTTGTCGCTCGGCGCCATCGAAGCTTGATTGTAGTTAAGAATATCCGATAGCAGGGTAGATGGTGCTTGAAAACGTGGAAGGGTTTTCACCCTCGCCAGGTTGAGGTCCGAAAAAATCGGGAGGGAGTTGGAGCCTCCGAAAAAATCGGGATGGGTCTCGGAACTGGGAATTGAACTTGAGCGATTGTAAAATGAGAGACGTGGGTGGGGGAAGAATGACCCCAGCCCACATTATATATTCGGAGAAGGCGAATACCGCGCTTCGACGATGCACAAAATTGCATTACAGTCAGCTTCGCTTTCACAATACGCAAATTTGAAAGCGATAAACGCTTAGAAATTTTTCATTTCATGAGCTTTCACTAAGTACCAGATGAGTGAGACAAAACCAGGACTGGCAGGACATGTACAGGGTAGACCGTACTGTAATGAAATGGTGTGCTCGTGCAATTCGCAACCGCAAATAATCCGACAGGAGAGCATGGTTCGTTGGATTGATTCCCCAGCCAAGGCCAATCCAGACACGTACATCAACAGTATTGCTGTTGAGCCGCTATTAAGTACACTAGGTAGCTTCACTAACAGCGAGGTCGTAATGGAAAATGCAGTACCTAAAGTACACTACAACATGAGAAGATGCAACGATGAGATGCTGGACCAACGCCAGCCACCATCTTCAGCTATCACCTCCCACTGGCAGGTCACTGTGCCATACGACGCTGAATCCCGTCAAATTTTCGGGTTAACGCACCAGCGCGCTCACACAACCCGGATAATCGTGTCCTTTGCAACCGGGTCCTGGCAGCGACGGCCGTTGTTGAGGGCCGCGAATTTGAATTGCTTGCCCGCGTAGTATCGCTTCAGCAACACGGCGCACGTCTCGCCGCGAGTTTGATAGTACTCCGCGAAATCCGCCTCCTTCGTCTTCCTCCCCGCCGCCAACGGAACTGTGTTAAGAATATTTGTTACAAAGAAAATATAATCCCAAGCAGGCTAAAGTCCCTGGATATCAGCATTACTGAAAAAGGAGACCAAATAGTAGGTCTGAAAGACCACGGAGGTGCTATGTAAGGTACGGCTGCATTCTGCAGGTACTCTACGGGGACACAGAACAACAGGATAGAGGCGGGAAAGGGGCGCTGCTCACCGTGGGATGTGAGGAGAAGAGCCAGTGCCAAGACCAGCACGGCGCGGACAATGTTCGTAAGGCGGAAAAGCGTTGTCATGATGGCCGAAGAAGACGGGGTCGAGAGATGGGAGTGAAATGAATGAGATTGGGAGGGAGATGGGATGAACGTGATGAGTGAGAGATGCTCCCCAGGTGCGCTATTTGTGCCGCGATGTATCCAGATGAAGGCACTTGAAAAACGTGGGTTGAAATCGGATTTCATGGGAAAGACCTGGGTGCTAAACGACGCTTTGCTATCCAGTACGGTGAGCCCGTTTCACCCAAACCAGCGCGATTCACGCCGCCAAGTATGGTGATCAAGGCAGATGAAAACCTTGGGTTCAAATCGGCAAATACGAGTATAACCAAGTTTTAAAACAGCGCACTCAGTTCCAGTACGGTAACTAGATTCACCTCTGCCACCAATTTTGTTGCTGACGCGTTTTTCAAGTAGCAACGCGATCCGAGGCGCGGTGAGGAAACCGAGAAATGCGGGGCTTCTGACCCGTTTTAATCACCAACCAAACCAGTAACTCAGTGTAAATATTAGAAGTAGGAATGACACAGCTACTATAAAAGCACTATACATGTGTTCCAGCGATTATTCGGTTGCCAATTTGCAGCTTAAATGCTGTCTTAAAACCAGGGTCTCAAGTAATATGAAAAAAAGGGGGGGGGGGGGGGGGGGGGGGGGGGGGGGGGTGCGGTGGGAGGATCAAACTCAGACTTGTTTTTGAAACGACAGCCCTGCCCAGTAGCGTATATGCAGGGGGATACAGTAGTTGAAAGTAATCCAACTCGTGAGCTCTCCAAAACCATTTACTTCAACACGACTGGAATGATATACGATTCATTGATCCTGCCCAGTACTAAGCGCCATGTTTCTGCACAGCGCACTGAGCTGTTGCACACATGGCAGGTCAGGGCGCATTGACTTCAACTCCAAAGCCATGTTCATTGAACATAGCCAGTTCCCAAAGAGCACAGTGCAGCACGATACAAAGGAGTGCGCACTGAGCTGTTACACATACACACATCCCACACTCCCAACCAATGGCCGCTCAGCCCCTGCCTCTTCCTCCTGGTCCTGAAAAGGAAAAGAAAAGAATCATCAAAGAGTGATCATGTAAAAATATGCCAGCAGGAATGCTTGCACATGCTGACGTCACACATGCTGCTGACGTCAGGCATGGCGTCACCGAGAGAGGGGAGAGCAAGGAGAGAGGGGAGGGAGTGGGAGTGGGAGAGAGTGGGAGAGGGGGGAGAGAGGGGAGAGAGGCGGAGAGGGGAGGGATTGGGAGAGTCAGGAGAGTGGCAGGTGCAGGGCCTGATGCTGTTGCTCGTCAACAAACACGCCAGGCACGGTAGGCACGGTAGGCACGGTAGGCACGGTCGGCACGGTAGGGCAGCGGCAGCAAAAATGCGGAGACAGCAGTGTGACGCAGGGTGGCATGAGTCGGGGACGGGGGCGGAAAAACGGTTGGAGAGGAGATTGAGACGAGGTGGGGGCGAGTGGAGCGGGGAGCGGGACAGAGAGCAGGGAAGGTAGGAGGTGGAGTCAGGCGAAGGGCAGCGAGGGAAGACGTGCATTGAAGAAGCGGAGAGGAGCGATCTGGAGCAATCAATGGGTTGGAGCTTCGCAGAGACGCGGCAGGCAAGGCACGGCGGGGCACAGCGGGACACACGGGCGATGGATGGGAACGAAGGGGATGTGAGTGTGACTGATAACACAGCGCGGGAAGGAGCGACATGCGCGGAGTGGGCGGGGCGGAGTGAGCGGAGCGGAGTGGGCGGGGCGGAGTGGGCGGGGCGGGGTGGGCGGGGCAGAGTGGGCGGGGCGGAATGGGCGGGGCGGAGTGGAGGTGTAACGCATGCGGGCTTACCCTAAGGGTTGAAAGGCTCCAGCTGAAATGGATTCGATTAGGGTTACGCAGGTTACAGTTGCTGCGAGTGGTGGTTTCAACGGCGACCCACCAGGCTGCGTGGAGCGCAAGGCGCGCTCGAGACGCGCCATCCAGTCCGCCGACGAGTTCTCGCGGCCAGCCATTCGAGCTCACCAAAACCAGCTGCACCTGTCGAGCGGAGCATACAGCGTTCTTTGGGCGTTGCGATCTGCACACTCGAGCGACTACGATTCACGGAGGCTGTTATGCGTTGTTACGAGTGTGCGGAAAAGCAATATCGAAGCTGTGCCTTGATATAAATGAAAGCCCACTAAAGATGTAGCTCGGCGAAGGACCTCGAAGGCCGAAAGCGACGGGAGGTAGCCTAGGCGGGAGGTTGTACGCGTTGTAGCATAACCCATTCAGGAATTTGAGACTCCTTCCATCCCCTTCATAAAGAGCGTATACATTTACAAGGCTACCTGAAATCTCAAGATTAGTGTAACGAAACAACTTTTCCTTATTTCCAGGCACATTAAATACCGCGTACACGACTGTTCCCGCCACTGTACATGCAACAGTAGCCAATTACCACCTCGCGGCACACGCCTCGGCACCATGCCCACCAACACGATCGCGCCCAAACCACCCTGTTACGATATGGAATAGTTGAATAAACATTCCT